ACAAATGTTTATAAGCTTCCATGATGTGCTTAAAAAACTGCTGAAAATATATCTCAAAAAAGTAAAGATAACTACTTCATCGATTTTATCGAAAGAAAACATGTCAGCCTAGTTACTTATTTCTTGCCACTGACGGAGGCACTTTTGGTGTGCGAAACGTCTGGTTTTATTCGTATTGTTATTGTATTGTCATTCCCTGTGAGAAAAAAAGGATACCTCTTCAGTTAGTAACCATAAGAGCGAAACGGCTTAATGTAACACAATTCACTGTGTATACGAAACCTATATGTAAGTCCCTAAATATAATCCTATTTACGGCTTTTAAAAGGATACAGCTTATACAGCTAAGGCATACATTTTTTCTGCGTTTAGATAATATTCATTTATCTATTATTTTTCTTTTATGCGGGGATAGGCGCCAGCTCAGAGCAATTAGCGTGATTCCCACAATTCGTTTCATGAACCAGGAGCTTCAATGTTCATCCAGCGTTAAGAACCTCGGCGTAATCATGGATCAAACTCTGTCCTGGGAGCTGCATGTGACTCGTGTTACCAGCCGATGTATAGGTATACTCATTGCTCTTTCACATGTTAAACATATCTTACCGCCTGATGTCTTACCTCGCCTGATCGACGCGCTCGTGTTTTCACATATCCGCTATTGTGTACAAGTTTATGGCAGTGCTAACCTGACTGTGATTGCGAAAGTACAAAAAGTGTTTAATCTCGCCGCTAGAGTGCTGTCAGGCCGCCGCAAATACGATCACATATCAGATGTACTTCGCGATTTGGAATGGCTAGATGCCCAACAGTTTGTGAAATTCTCTGACATATGTTTGCTTCATAAGATTTTGACGGGCGGTGAACCATGTGCAATTCGATCTAGTCTTTCATACAATCATGAGATCATCCATCGTACAACTCGACAGTCAGATCACTTGAACCCAGGACGTGCTCATAACAACCATGGAAAGAGACTTTTTACATATCGTGCCGCTAGACTATACAACCAATTCGTTATCAGTGAAAACATCGATGTCACTTCAATACGCATGCTTAAACGCCAGGTTCGTGCCGCGATTTACCGTATGTGATTATCCTGTATGACGACGGTCTATGAATAGCCCTGTACTGTGGAATGACCGGATTATGTGAAATAAATAAATAAATAAATATCTCCGCAGAATATGGTAAATTAGTGCTGCTGAAGTTCGCTTTCGAAGCGTCTCCTCCAAGCATTCTACAGCTCTCGTGCGATTTTGGATCACGGAACATGGCTGGGCGCGGGACAGGTCGTCTGCGAGCTTGGACGGACCACGTGACCACCTCCTCCCCTCCCCCTCACTCCCGTCCCCTTCCCCAGCAGGGCGTCCGATCTAACCGCGCCCCAGGCAGTCGGCTCGGTCCGACCCTCACTGGTCGAGCCACGGCCCGGTGCCGCCTGAGATTGTGCCGGGTGCAAAGCTGGAGCAGTTACTAGCGCCGGAACTAGTAATCAGCACGACCATCGTTAGATGGCAGGAGTGAATGGAATAAGCGGTTCCAGGTTTCAGAAAGAATGGGGCAGGAAAAAGCGCTGAAAACAATGTTTTGCTGATATAGCCATAAAAAGTTCACTGAATTAGGAGAGCAGCACATCAGTTTAAAGCCCTTCAGATGGTGGTTTTAATAAGCACACAATCATTTCCCAATTCGCCTGCAACGGTGTCACAGGCCAAGAATACGCTGAAATACTAGTGTGTACAGAAGCAACTGCGGGTCCCTGTACCACGTAGCATTCAACTTCCTGCATTTCTGTTTCAACTCAGTTTAACGTATTTCAACGAACATAACATCAAAAATGGCAGCCAGTACCGGCTTCACCTGTCACGGAGAAGGCTCAATAAATTGAGTGTAGATGCTGGCCGGCACTCAATTTTTTGAGCGCCAGCTGACTGTCGTCTGTCGTGGCGCTCAATTTATTGAGTATCGCGGTCCCGAACGACAAGTGGCGCTCAAAAAGTTGAGCGTCTTTAGGGCATTTTCTTTCCGAAAACACCGATATAAATTATCACGGCGAGTGTTCGAGAAGAAACCTTGTTGCTCTCTCTTGCCATTGATACCTTATTTGGATACGATATTTGCCGTAGTTTGACGCTAGAGGCATTGTAAAATACCATCGATTCGCCTATTCCTTCATAATGGGGCCCGCTCAATTTTTTGAGCGCTCAATAATTTGAGCTTTTCCCCCTTGTGCGTGGGACTGATCTGGAAAAGGAAGGGGGAATGGAAGAGGTGATTGTGCGCAGTTCAGAACCCGCAGTCCGACCGTGTGGAAGGGCGGGAGGGGAGGACGGGCTTGGGTGCGCTGACCTCAACTTACGCCAATGCAATGTGACGCAGTGGCCGGTGACGTCAGGTGGAATTCGCTTGCACTGTCTCGTATTTACAGTGTGTACTTATACACGGTGTATGAAGTAAACTCGCAGTAATCCGTGGCTGACGGAATAGGCAGGCATTTGACAACTAGTTTCACCATTGGCGGAGTAGAGCTAATAATGCATAACTTTGGCGGAATTCGGTTCAAAAAATGTTTTATTTTGCAGAATACTACAACAATTTGCTGCTGTGATGGAATACTACCAAAAGTGGCGAGTCCAACAAAATTGTAACAAATGACCGTATACTTGAGTTAAACCGTGTGTATTTGTATTTAGATTGCAGTTGACGCCAGGTAAAGGTATAGTTGTCCGTCTGTCAGCAAAGATGCTGCCCAGTTCGCTCCTGCACAGGATATCCCGAAATATGTGCTATCGATCTGCTGTATCGCCAGCAGCTGAACGGCCTGTCGAGTGTTGACTCGTGGGCGCCTATCGAGCTATTCTTACACCCTGCTATCGGTGTGCTGAACACGTTTTTGCTATCGACACGTTCAGCGCGGCTATCGAATCATTGGACACGCTACCGCTATCATACGTTAGGGGGGGGGGGGTCTGGATTTTAGGTGGGGCGTTTGCTGAAAGTGAAACTCAAAAGGTAAAACAGACGTTCTTCGCCTAGAAATCATTTTATGAGACTTATTTTGCTGTGCTGATGCTTTCATATGGTGTCGAAAATGCATGCAGTTTTCCAAGGACATTATTGCCGGATCGTTAGCTGATGAACAACAGTGTGCTTAAATGTTTAATTTGACGCCATTTTACATTTTAACTTTCTAACATTTTCTTTCTTTGATGTCGCTTTTAGATTAATGGCTCCTTTGAAACATGTTTAAAAGTCATTAAGCCCGCGGCAATGCCACACAAGTTTGGTATTCAAATTGAAGTTTTACTGTTGAATGATGCATGATCTTTGATCAGCCTCGGAACTGGTGTGACCGGCTGTGAAAGTTCACTGATCTTCCCATGTAAATTGGTGGCACTCGCAAGATGCAAATACATTGACGCTTGACATGGAAAAGGTTAGGCCCCCTAACTGTATAAACGGTTTGGGCTAGTGTCGAATGTCGATACTTTACAATTTTTGGTAGTTTGGTAGGCATTCGTTTTGTTTGCACTACTGGACGAATTGAAGTTGAAGCATTATACCTAACACAAGCAGTTTATGCTCAGTGTACCTACTTATATCAGCAGTTGACTTTGCATGATCTTCTCATTCACCTCTACTTCTAAATTTCATCCATTTTATTGTATGTCGTTCAGTGCATGTCGTTTTAGTACATTTACATTGGTTGCATCCTTTCAGACCCCTTTTGGTTTAAACTGGCGCCAGAGCAATGTCCGTGCTTATGTAAGCTACAGAGGTCGTCAGGCAAGGTGATGACCTTTGTCATACGAAACCGCCCGAGGCGGATATCGGCAGAGTCCCCCGCCGGCGTTGCTAGGTAACGCAGACGTTGCTAGGCAACGGCGAGTGCTTTGATCTCAGCTTATATGTCCTATGGTAATATTGCATCCTGTTCGTGTTGTGCATGTGCTGCTCGCGAGCTTTCTTTTAGATATGTTTTTATGTCGTTGTGTGCTGGGAAAGGTTGTCATTGGTTGGATGGTTGTCAATAAACGTCGCTATATATTATATTTAGAGCGTTCAATTAAGTTCGTTATAAATTAACATCATTGTCAGTGTTCAGCGAAATGAAGCATCACAACTTGCGTACTTAACATTCGGTGCGTGCCTGCGCTTAAACAGCATTTATGCCTACGGTATGCGGAACGCGAGATGGATCTAGTAAAACTCTATGGTGGATGCCCTACCTGTCGAATAAGATGAAGTCGAAGAGCGATAGGGCTGTGGGGAGATAGGAAAATGGGTTAGGAGATGAGGTGGGATTGGCAAACGGGGTGGAGTTGGGAAATGGGATAGGAATTTGTGATATCACAAAAAAGAAACCCTGACTATAGGTTACCGTTCACTGCGCAAGTCTGCCGCCTCAGGGACGCGAACGCTGTTGGTTGGCGATCGCAGTGACACCTATCGGGGACACGGGGAACTGTCTGATTGGGTCGTTGTATTGCCCGGTGGACTGCTGACACTGATATAATGGATGGCCGAGCGGCCGCTGGGGATGTCTGCATTACAGGGATTACAGCAGGAAATCTCAGGAAACTGATATTGGAAGCTGAAGCGGTGCCTTAGCAACTAAATGATGATGACATGCTCTGAATGGCATTGTGAGATGCTCTTACATCAAAATAGTCTTTGCTAAGTGGGTTTGATGTCAATGTACTCCCGTGATTTAGTTTTTTTTTTTTGCATCATTTTCAGCCTGTATTCATGTCTCGGTTCTCCTTATTTTCGATTCTCCTTATTTTCGGTTCTCCTTATTCTCGGTTCACCTAACACGCCTCATCCCACACACAACTGGGGGAGGGGGTCGACCTAAACCCTACCTTCTTCTCGCCTTCAACTTGAAGGCGAGAAGGCTTCAAGTAAAGATGTTAAACACTTCTTGACCTCCACGTTCTCTCCTCACTTCAACTGAAACTGTTCAACCACATGACCACCACGTTCTCCCCCCACAGCTGGACGGTTTCAACCACCGGGCCACCATCCGCTGCGAGCTGTTCACGGTGGAGGAGGGCGCCTCGAACCTTCCTCCGGTTCCGCATGTTCATACACTCCAAGGAAGGAACTGCACCGGAGGCTACGCCGAGATGAGAGTCGATCAGGAGAACGACTTCACGGCCAGGTGAGAAGTGGGAGTGGGAGAAATGGTGAGCTGAGGGGGTGGGGGAAGGGGTAAATGGTAGGCGGCGGGGGGAGGGGGAGAGAAGTGGTGGGCTGTGGGATGGGGGAAATGGTGAGCGGCGGGAGTGGGAGAAATGATGAGCGGCCGGGTGGGAGAGAAATGGTGAGCGGCCGGTTGGGAGAAATGGTGAGCTGTGGGATGGGGAGAAATGGTGAGGGAAGATAAATGGTGAGCGGCGGGGAGAGAGAAATGGTGAGCGGTAGGGTGGGGGAAATGGTGAGCTGTAGCCTGTAGGATGGGGGAGAAATTGTGAGGGAAGATAAATGGTGAGCGGCGGGGGAGAGAAATGGTGAGCGGCGGGCGTGAGATGAAATGGTGAGCGCCGGGGAGAAGCACATAGTGCGAATGGCGTGCGAGAGAAATGGTGAAGGTATGTGTAAGTTATGGTGAGCGCTGTGTGTAAGAATATGACATTGATCGGGATTTGAGAGTACTGTAAGGCAGGATTGGCAATGATCAATGATCATGTATCACTGCGATCTGTGATAGTAAAGTAAACACAAAGCTTTTTATATGTGTAAACTCGGAACGTTTCGGAACAATGCGTATAGACTAGTATGCATTTTCTAGATATTTTAGATATGAAATTAAACGTGAGGACCGCTGCCTTTTAAGTACCTACTTCATGTACTTTTGCTGCACTCCATATACACATTTTTTACGAACATTGCCGCTCTCTCACTGGACTTGGAGTTGAAAACGGACTGAGTGCGCGCTTAGGGGTGGTAGGAATCCTGCTTATCCGGTCCAACCGGCTCTCTTTTCGGACAGAACTATTCACGTGCGGGGTTTCCCAGCATGTCTTAAGTTATCTCCGTGCAAGTTACCAAATCAGATCAAACGAGTTTTTCGCAGTGAGGTTTCAACTGGTATTCAAAAGACGATTTATAAAGTCGCCGGTTGCATGAGAAATACGTCCGTGTTCGTAGTAATACGTCGGTATTGAAAATCCAATCGCGTTCTCGATAAAAAATGGTCGTCGATAAGTTTTGTTCGGTGCATTGACCTTATAAAGTGACCACATCAGCTCAGCTCTGAAACTGTATGACAGTAAAATTCAATTTGAATCGGACGATGGAAGGATGCAGTTTCTGAGGAATGCTAGTTTTCTGCTTGCTATCGAATGACGAGACTTAAGGAGAGCAACTACATTGAAATTGTGCCCATTTAGGGCACGGTCACACATTTGCAGCATTGCATTTAACCTCTGCGCTTCATTCGGATAATACTGAGCTATTGGCATCGTCCGAATTACACTTTAAATAAAGCGTAATTTATTCACATTTCACCAAGGGCACTACAACACGATTAAGTTTAAACCGCTCAAACCTTGGAAGGCGACGTCCCTTGGTCCTCATTTGGTCGCAGGTCCTCGTATCTCTGTGTGTGATATTTGTGTGTGTGTGTGCGTACTCGATACCGATACCGACCTAACGCTATCATAGGTCCACAGTGGTGCTTTGCGCGTGACAGAGGCGGTGCCAGGCGCGATGAAAAGGGGAACATCCCATTTCCCATTTACGAATGTACTTACGTGAAAGAAAGAAAAGTATAACGGGCCTAGCCCAGTCTCCGGGTAGGGGCTTGAAGTGTTCACAGAGTTTTGTATGTATTTTCACTACGTATGTGTCTCTCTGTACTATTGTCACTTCCGCCACCACAACCACAATACTGATACAAATCATATATTTTATTCTCTTTTTATGAATTGCTACGACGCTCATTAGAAAATAAAATAGGGCACGACGAACATGAGTTATTTGATGCCCGATTTGACGACGCAACTGGATGATCTGCTCGCTATGGTCAGAGAAAACTCAGCATACTGTAATCCTGCCCTACCATCACTAGCTTCCTCCTCACTACCATCAACCACTAACGCTCCTCACTGCTCAGCTTCCAGGGCAAAGGCATCATCCGTATGTCTTAGACTCTCCACTACGGTCTTCCCCTAACGCTCGTCACTCCTCAGTTTACAGGGCCCTGGCATCATACATTTGACTAAGAGGCCACCAACACCTACCACTAACGCTTCCCCCTCCTCACTACCAGGGCCTGGGCATCATCCGTTTGTCTTAGACTCTCCACTACGGTCTTCCCCTAACGCTTCTCCCCCTCCCTCAGCTTCCAGGGCCTGGGCATCATCCACACGGCTAAGAAGCAGATGGTGGAAAAGATCACCAACCGGAAGCTGGACGAGAAAAAGATGGAGATGGAGCGAATGAACATGGGGAAGCTGTGGAACCCCACCGAGGCCGATCGACAGGAGGTAATGGAGGGGGGATATGGGGTAATGGGGGTAACGACGATGACGCTTCTGCATCCGTTTGGGGATGGGGCTTCCTGTCTTTTTATTAGTTTTTTTTTTTTGTCTTTTTGGTGTTATGCTTGTGGTACGCAATAGGGCTGAGTACATTGTGTTACCTTGCGTTTATATTTTTTAAGTGGAAAAATAGTCGATACAACGGACCCATAAAACCAGTTCTAGAGGCAGGCTGGCAGTAGAACGTGGTCCTTTCACCAAGGACATTGATTAAACACACCAATGTAATCCCCCTGAACTGACTTCGCCTTCCCTCCCCGCGTTTTTTCAGGCTCGTGATCAGGCAAACCGAGAGTCTCAGCGCATCAACATGAACCGGGTGTGTCTGAGGTTCCGGGCACTGTACCAGAATCCGGGGACGATGCGGATGGAAGAGATCTGCCAGCCCATCTTCAGCGATGCCATCTACAACGGCAGTGAGTGTGAAGGGGAACCTCTGCATGGACAGTCAGGGCGAAGGGAAACCTTTGTATTAGACGGTCAGGGTGAAGGGTACCCTCTACATGGGCAGTGAGTGGGAAGGGACACCTCTGTATGGACAGTCATTGTGAAGGGAAACCTTTGTATAGGCAGCAAGTGTGAAGGAAAGCTTCTTTGTGTGAAGGGAAATAACTACATTGACAGTTAGTGTAAAGGGAAACCTATATGGGCAGTGAGTGTTAAGGGGCACCTTTTTATGGAGCATTGTGTGCGAGGGAATGCCTCAATATGTGTTAAGGCTTGCTTCTATATATGCTAAACTAGGTCTGAAGGAAAACTGCTAAATGGGGCTGGGAGTGAAAAGAAAATTGATTGATAATGTGGATACTGTGAAGTAGCCTGTGCTTGTTTCTGACATGACCGGTGACTGACCTCTGGTCTATTACCTCTGACCTCTGACCCCTGACCTGTGACCTGTAACATGACCCGTGACAGATCTTTGTCTTGTGACCCATGACCTGTGACCTGATCCGTCACTCCCGCCCAGTGACCTTTCATCTCTGTCTGTGACATCTGACCTGTGACCTGACCCGTGACCCCTCTCCCTCAGAGTCTGCGCAGACGGGTGAGCTGAAGATCGTTCAGCTCTCGGAAGCCCACAGTCCGTGTACAGGAAACAAGGAGATCTGGCTGCTCGTGGAGCGCGTCCGAAAGAGTAAGTGGGTTCTTTGGGCGAGAAGGTGTGGGTTCATTGTGTGAGAAGGTATGGGTTCTCTGTGAGTAAGTGTGGGTTTAGTGGGCGAGAGGGTGTGGGTTCATTGTGTGAGAAGGTGTGGGTTCATTGTGTGAGAAGGTATGGGTTCACTGTGAGAAGGTGTGGATTCGGTGGCCGGGAGGGTGTAGGTTCAGTGGTACGAAGCGTATTGCTGGAGTATGTAATCAATGTGGAACTCATTGACGTAATGGGAGGAGAGCTGCCAATAAAATTTATATCTTGCTTTTCTTGCTTTTGATGCATTGAAGGAATTCAAAATCAACAGTAACGCGCACTTGATATAAAGGGCTATTATGAATGTTTATGAATAATATAATATTTCAAAAGCGAAACCAGTTAGGTTTGATAGAATCTGTAGCTTTACCTCGTTTGGATGCGCAAGTGGAAAACAAGAGCAGGCATGGCTTGGAAACAGATCATAGATAGGTTTTGGAATGAATGCAGCGGACACAATGGTGTTCGCTGCATGTGGCACAGCACCCAGCGAGCGGGCTTCCTGATTCCTCCAGGCTAGTCTTTGGCTAGCGGAAGTCTTAATCAGAGTCTGAAATTACGCCGCAGCATCTGAAATTACGCCGCAGAGTCTGAAATTACGCCGTCCAGAATGTAACAATTTTTATATTAAATAGCATTCAGCGCACCGCGATCTACGCCTTTGGCCTCACCCAGATTGGTTCATATTGAGGCCTTTGAGCTGCACCGAGTACCGACCACATCTGGCGCTGACACGGTGACATGGTGCTAATCATTAGCTCACCGTGGGACGTGTAGCGGCCAATTCATTGCGTTTCGCCTCGACTGAGATGGCTGTTTTAGGCTTCTACTACCATAATTTGAGACAAACAGTCTGCAGCTGGGGCGTTCCACGACAGATCAACCAAGCCATAACACCCTACCTCTCAGATTTTGATGAAATTGCGTCTATGGGGTTATCCGTACCGTAGATTCATAATCTCTTATTTTTAGCGTTATACTACGAAGGGTTTACGAGTTATAGCCAGAGGCATTTTTCAAAATGCCCAGAGTAACCCTCTTTTAAACTCGTATTATCAAAAAATATAGCCAGTAACCTACATTAATATGCATATCATTGGAATCCTCATTGACAGTAGAAAATTATCCAGCCAAAATATTTTGAAAATTTTCAAAATCGCAAGATTTTTTGAAATAATGAATTTTTGATTTTCGATTTTCAAAAGGTGGCCATTTAATTTTTGACAAAAATATTATGCCAAAAGATGCCTCTGGATATGGAAATTTAATGTCTAAAAAATTAGAGACATGTTTTGCCTTTAACTTTTTATATAATTTTTTGTTTCCGACAATGTTTGTAGTAAAAGGGAACATTTGGTAATGCCTTCCAGAGCCAATCATTCTCCTACCCACATATCCTCGAACTGTTTCATGAAAATTAGAAATAAAAGCCTGGCACTCACACTCACAGACCAGGCATGCGATTATTGAATGATGTTTGCTTCACTTTCGCTGTAGTTTCGAACATTGTTCAGGCAAAAAAAAAAAAGAGCTGAACACTGATATCGGCCGCCTCGCATGTAATTCTGATATGCTTCTAAGCAGCTTGCACTGGTGAAACGTTACACTGGCGGATCCAGGGGGTAGGGCAATGCTCCCCCCAAAGCCCGTTTACCCCCCCCCCCCCCCCCCCGCAAAAACCCGAGTTTTAACATTGCGCCTATGGCGGTGCATGGAAAGGAAGGGGCCATTTCGGCCATTCCCCCCCCCCCCCCCCAAAAAAAAATAAACGTCCGGCTCGATCCGCCAATGAAACGTTAGGAATTATCAAAATTGCTAATCGGACATTGTGGCCGGACATACCTACACAACTTCCGTTCATAAGAGCCGAGGCTGTGTTAGAGTTAACCCTATTCCTGGCGGGCTCCGCCGGGACAAGAAACTGGCGGGGGGGGGGCCGATTCGGCCCCCCCCCCTGAGATCTCGAGAACGAAGCAAGATAGCGACAAGCGGTAAACGGCAGCGGATACGCATGGACAAGATCTACAATTTTTACTAAGGTCATTTTCAGGTCAGGTCACAGATGACGTTACAGGGGTCGAAAAAGTCAAAATGGCGGCGCTAGATATGGAGAGAGTTTTTCTCGAATAACTTTCGAATTAGTCAAGATAGGAACAAACTAAGGGCATCATAGTGATCCTCTCGTCAATCCGCATCGAATGATATATATGTTGACCTCGAAAGGTCAAGGTCAAAGGTTGACCTCAGGTCACGTGACGTCGAGGTCATCATGTATATCATTCGATGCGTCTTGACGAGCTGAACACAATGAGACCATCCACGCGTCTGTATCTTGTTTCTGTACGGAGTTATTGGCCAAAAACCTTTGGTGACCTTTGATGACGTCACATGACCTCACAGCTGCCCAACAGCAAAACAGACCTCAAGGTAGTGAAGGTTGATCGTATATGAAGTCATGTATGGTATATGGGGCCATTCCGACCCGTTTTAGTGGTAAAAACAGGGAGTTGATTTTTCCCCCATTGACTTATAATGGGGAGGTCGCGAAACTGACCTGACCTTAGGTCACCGATATCAAATTTCCGAGATATACAAATTGCACATACTGGTACCCTAACTAAAGCCTGAAGAGAAGAAATTGATCGGTCAAAAACTCTAGCTCTGGCGTGATTGCAAACTTTTCTGAGGTAGGGTCACCAAACCGCCTCTGGTGACCTGACCTGAGGTCAGATCAACTCAAAATTTTCAGACATGTTGCGTAGAAGCCTTATAGGAAAAGTCAGAAAATTTGAGCTTCCTAGCTCAACGCGTTTGGGAGAAATAACCAAAAAACCTCAGGGGGGGGGGGCTCCTGAGGCCCCCCCGCCAGGAATAGGGTTAAATGAGGAGAAGGCTCTAGCTAGTAATCGCATGAAGTTCGCTCTGTCCTTGTAATAACGGACTTTCAGTAATTTTGATGAATAAATTTGCCACAAAAAAATTATATGAGTACCAAAATGCGGCATTTGAAGGTAACTGATTGCAATTGCCAGGGGCGTGACCAGGTCAGAGTAGGCGGGGGTGACAAAATTACAAGTACTTGAAAACTCGCCGATATTGAATTCTGTTTTCTTGAAACTGGAAGCATCTCTAACGTTTTGAAATTAATGCATTTCGAGGTAGCTAGTGGCTTGGGATGCTCCATGTTTCACTAACATTCACTTTCATAGTATTTTTATTCCCACCCGGCCGAAGGGGAGGGTTTGATGTGCAGCCCCAACGGTTTTCTCGATATTGTTTGCAGTGGTGTAAGGCTGGAGAGCTAAAAGTTGACATTCCGAATCTGTTGACACCAACAGAACAGGCTCAGGTCAGCTTACTGACATATGACGTCACAAATAAACCTCGGAATAATGCAAAAAGTTGCAGCTTTGCACTGTACTCTCAGTGTAAGGGAACCTTTTGCAGGGGATGACACAAGTAACGGCAGTAACGGCTCTTGAGATTTTACAACATCAATTCCCCTAACTTTCCTAAATTTTCACCCGAAGTCAAGCTGGTCACGTGACTTCACTAATATAAGTCAATGGGAAATATTGAAACATTTGAACTGTTATTTGGATGCCGAAAATGATCCAAGCCCATCTCAAACACCTGTAATCGTGATTTCATACACTTTTGCGATGAGCGATTCTTAGGTTTTGCATTGAGGACCTTGCAATGCGCCGTATATGCCGTTACATTGTACGGTCGTGTGAGGTCATCGGTTTTCTTTTTGTCAATGACTGAATGGAATTTATCTAACGAGTCGAATAAGCCACCAGTGAACTCAGGGAACCCTGCTGAGCTGAATCATTTACTTACAATAGCCGTTTTTCACGACGGTTATCTGACACACATTAACTGATATTTGATGGGATTTGGTCAAATTTGGTTCATAGTTGATTCTTAATTGTTTTTAGCTTAGGTTGCGCTAGTTGCTTATTGACCTTATTTATCAAATTATCAGTCGTTACTTTTTACTCAAGCATAAGAATAAAATTACGTTATGAAAATAGCTGTAGTAAAAGATTTGGCTAGATTCGTCTGATATCCGTCGTGAAAACGGCTGAAATGGCCTCATTTGAACAGCTTCTTGACCTCAGCGGTTTTGATGTGGCCTCGACCTGAGGAAAACATCTTAAGCTGACCTCTTCCAAACCAAGTTTTATCATTCCGGCAACCGGTAACCTCTGAGGTCAGGTCAAATGCCTTGAGGCAGGGATCCAAATTTCGGTCAATAAATCCCTTAAATGGTCGCGAGTCATTTCGGTATCTGGCAAAATATTTCAGGTCCCGAAACTGGTCAATTGAGATAATACCGACCTACGGCAAAAGTATCTGTCGATTCGACAGCTCATTCTCAGTACATTGATGTCCCTCCCCTCAATGTCGTCATTTTGTTAGGAATCTATTAACGAAAAACTCGACTCAATCAGCGTTAGTGACGTCATAAATGACGTTGCGTCATTATGACGTCATGCAAGGCCCACCAGCAAAACTAAAGCATCGGACCTTGCAAAGAATGCGTGAATTACATACGTTCTCTCCGTAAACTATTGTTTGGCGTTTCGCAATAGTAACATTTTTAAGCATTAGATAGGCTCACTTACGTGACGTCATAGTTCAGTAAAGTGACCTTATATGAAAGTTCATTTGATGTCACAAGATAAATCAACTAGATAACTTGTAATAACTTTCCGGCTTCAGCACTCTATCGCCAATGCGACCCCAGCAGTGATGAGAAAACCGTCAAAGGTGATTAGCATTCGCTCCCTCGGCCACAGGGGGTTAAACCTCGCTCTCTTGAAAACAATACGCCATTATGACGTTTTTGGATCTTTGGGTCCTAACTTAGCTTTCGTAGGTGTCTTAAGCATCTTTAAAAAGAATTAACAGCGTCGCAATGAGCTCTTGATCACATTTCA